AAATAGAACACACTATCCTGAGTGAGGTAACCCAGACCCAAAAAGATGAACTTGGGATGTACTCACTCATAATTGGTTTCTAGAGATAAATAAAGGTCAGTGAGTCTATAATTTGATCTCCTAAAGAAGCTAAATAAGAAGGTGATCCCAAAGAAAAACATATAGCTAGGTTTAAGATTTTATAATTCTGATTTACTTTGTCCATCAGACAAGCACATCTCTAATTAAGGTGGAAATCACTAGGTTTTGCAGCAAATAACCCTGTAGTAATTCAAAAATACCTTATAACATTGTAGAAGGATTAGTTTCTAGTATACTATAGCCTGGCAACAAACTATAAGAAGCCTTCTTGTATCCATAGAAAAAGAATGGAAAAGTGAATGAGGAACTGGTAGAGGAGAAGTTGGGGGAGGAATTGGGAAGAGGGAAGGGAGGGAAAACTTTGGTTGGGTTATAAAAACGAGAAAATAAATAAACAAAATAAAAAGAGAAAAAAGTAGAACGTTAGGATTGAGTGTGTAGCTCATGATAGAATGCTTACCTAATGTATACAGGACCCTGTGTTATATTGACAGTACTACCAAAAAGAGGTGGTAGAGATCTTTAAGATGTTCTCACATCTTTCTTGAGTGAAAATGTTAAGTCAAAGATAAATGAAAAAATTATCAGGTAAAAAATGGAAATAGCAACCAAGGGAGGAGGTTCAATTATCTTCAGGGGTGTGGCCATGGTCATTAATATAGCACTAACTGGATTCAGTGAATCATACAAGACAACAAAACAAAATAACAACAAAACAACAGTAAGGTGTGTAGAGAACACATTGGCAGGGCAAGAGGAAGAGGTTACAAGCAGATTTAACCAAGATACATTTTTTGTGTGCATGAGATTGTTAAAGAACGAATACAAAATAGTTTTTAAAAAAAGTTACAAATGCCAAACTGTATCAATGTAAACAGTTTAACACTGTTCTATCCATTTTAATTACATTTGCATAATTATACATTTTGTGAGTTTTGTTTTAATGTTATTATTGCTTTGCCTAATGAGTGTGATCAAAGATACACAAGACTGTGTTTCTGTAAATACAATCTAAAAGAAATGTCTGTAAATTTTGTCAGGCATTATTCTTCCATTGTTATAAACTACACTTAAAATGTTATTTATACTTTTATTTGAGTTTTATCTAAAATATAACATGGCTTCTTATTTAATTGTTAAGCATATATTGTTCTCAAATAGTCCAGTGTTAAAGATTTTCTGCAAAAAAAAAAAATTGAAACTTTGGTTTCATTATTTCTTATTTATCTCTTTTTTTTTTTTTTTTCCCCCGAGACAGGGTTTCTCTGTGGTTTTGCAGCCTGTCCTGGAACTAGTTCTTGTAGACCAGTCTGGTCTCGAACTCACAGAGATCCGCCTGCCTCTGCCTCACGAGTACTGGGATTAAAGGCGTGCGCCACCACCGCCCAGCCATTATTTCTTATCTTCCAATATTATGTAAGATTTGTATTTATTAATTTGTGTAGGCTTTAGACTTTTTACTTATTTTTTTCTCTTTTATATAAAACTCTGCTACTAATTTTGCTTTTCTGCATTGGTTTTGGCTTAGGAAGGTAGGAAACTTTTTGGAAGTATTCCCCTACAAATACCTATGATTATTAGAGACAGAATTGGACAAACTTTTGTTTAGAACACATACCTTTCTACCCATGATGTTTGCAGATAATGTGTAGTGTGTGGGTTAATGTTCATCCCGGCCCCCCCAGAATTGAGATAATCACATAGAAACTATATTAATTAAATCATTCTTGGTCCATTAGCTCTAGCTTCTTATTGGGTAACCCTTACATATTAATTTAACCCATTTCTATTAATCTGTGTTTGCCACGTGGCAGTGGCTTACCAGGTAAAGTTCTGGTGTCCATCTCCAGTGGGGCTCCATGTTTTCTCCTTGACTCTGCCCTTCTTTCTCCCAGAATTCAGCTTGGTTTTCCCTGCCTAACGAAGTTGTGCCCTGATACAGGTCTAAAGCAGTTTCTTTATTCACTAGTGGTTGTCACAGCATAGAGAGGGAAATCACATATCACCTCCCATTTTCTGTTTAAATAAAAAAGGAAGGTTTCAACTTTAACATAGTAAAATTACATATAACAATGGATAAATAAAATGTGATATATTTACACAATGAACTGTTACTCAGATGTTTGAAATAAATGGCATCAAAAAAGTTGCAGGAAATGAGTGGAACTAGAAAAAAAAATCATCCCAAGTCTAGTAACCCAAATGACAAACTGCCACGCACCGCACCCCCGTGTCTGCGCTCTGTGCCCTAGAACCCAGTTCGCGAGCTTCAGGCAAGGGGCTGGAGGTTGAGAATACAGACGCGGAGACAGACCGACGGGCAGACCTTTTAACACTGATACCAAAGCACCCAGAATAGTCCTTTATTGTGTTCAGGGACAGATTATAGAGCAATAGCCACACCCTAGCCAAACCCACCAGAAACCACTCTCCTACCATCAGGGACTCCTGAAGGTCTCATGCTCAGAGCAGCTGTAGGCACTCAGATCAGGGGAAAACAAGTTGTTTACAAGAAATTCGGAATCTGGGGTTTCAATGCTCCCCAAAACAAACATGATACATACTCACTTCTAAGTGTATATTAGCTAATAAGTAATGATAATACTGCTAAAAGCCACAGACCCAGAGAGACTAAGTAGAAAGTAAGGCTCTCAGGGGTACACATTGATCTCCTTGGGAAGGGGAAATAAACTGTTCTTTTCGCATGTGGACTGGGAGTATGTGAGAATGGGAACATGAGGGATTAGGTGGGGGTAGGGATGGAGGAAGAGAGAACATGGAGAGATGACTGGAATTGGGGACATTTGGGGGAGCTGTGTTTAGTAGAAATGTTTAGTAGAAAGTCCCAGGACCCACAAGATAACCCTAGTAAGGACCCCTAGTAATGGAGAATAAAATATGAACCTAGTCTGGACATATTCTGCAGCTAGGCAATTTCTGGTGGTGGAACTGGGATACCAATCCAGCAACAAACTCTGTTACCTAAAATCTATCCTGCCTGCAAGATATGTGGAGGCAATGGAGGCATAAAACTTGGTGGGGATGCCAAGCAATGACTGGTTTACCGTGAGTCCCATGCCACAAAAGGACATTCATGTCCAATGCTGCCTGGAACTGATCAGGAACTGGAAACTTGATAGTTCAGAGACTTCAGAAAAAAAAAAATCAATATAAAGATTCCTAATGATATGCAGCTATACTCATAGATCAATACCTAGCCCAATAGCCTCAGAGAGGCTTCCTCTAGCAGATGATGGGAGCAGATGCAGTGACCCACAGCCAAACATTAGGTGGAGAGGGCCCAAATTCTGGATCTTCATCCATACCTTTTCTTGGAGGTCAGGGGACTCTACGGAAAAAGAAGAAGAACTGTAAGGCCCAGAGCGATTAAGAATATCAAGAGATCATGACACACAGAATTAGCTAAGCAGGGCTTATAGGGGTTTATAGAAATTTAAGTGACAATCACGGAGGCTGTGTTGGTCAGTACTAGGTCCTCTACAAATCTGTTATGTTTGTTAGCTTAGTGTTTTTGTTGGACCCATAACGGTGGGAGTAGAGATGTCTCTGTCTCTTTCACCTGCTCTTGGAAACCTTTTCCTCCTACTGAGTTGTCTCATCCAGGCCTGATAAGAGTAAATCAAAACATAATAAGACACAAATATTTGATTAAGGAATTGCACTTATCTCTAATGTGATCTTACACACATTAGTCTACATTGGTCGTAGAAAGCATATCATCAGATTTTAAAATAAGGGATATTTTTACCAATAGGTAGAACGCATTAATAGCACATAGGCAACTCCTTGTGATTTCCCATGCTGGATATACTGCTGGTTTATATCAAAAACAAACAAAGAAATTCTTATGCGCTTAGCAACAATAAATTTCTGAATGGTGAGAAAGACTCCTTAAAATTTAAACTGTAAAGGCACTACTTGATTTTAAAATCCAACTATATAATCAACATCTCCAAAATACCAGCCTCAGTAATGGTGATGAAAAAAATAGTTGTACCATGGATGGGAGGGTAACTCCTGAAAGAAAAAAAAAGGTCTAAATCTAATGAGCATTGTGTTTATATTAAGAACAGGACTTTTAAGAGTTGCTTAGATCATGAATGGATCGATAACATCATCTTGCAAATAATTTGTCAGAGTGTTTTCCTTATAAAAAGATGAGTTCTGCCTGATTTTTCTCACTTGTTCTCCCACCGGGGGATATAAACACAGAGCCTAGTGAAAAATTAGTGCCCTGCTGTTGGACCTCAGAGACTCTAGACCCATGAGCCAAATACACTTTTGCCTTTAATTTCCCTAATCTGGATTCTCCTGTAGTTACTGCAATCACACTGGGAGAAAATTGGAGCCTCACCAGGAAGTGCGGCTGTGTGGTAGCAAATACCTAACATGGAACTAGCTTCAGAACTGAGCAAAAAGCAGCAGCCCTAAGAAATATGAGATGAAGACTTGACTGCTGTGAGTGAGTGGAGAATTAGGGATACTTATCAAGAAAGTTTGGAAAAATGTAGCTGTCTGATATAGATGAACTTACTTATAAAGGGTGTTGGCTGCTATTGATTTACAAAGGTTGTACTTTCTCTTTATAAGTATTGTTTTGTTTAGTCTACATAACTAAGTTTTGCTGATCTCCTTCCTTCTTCCAAGTCTGAGGAGGCTGCATCTGCTATCAGAGACTTGGAGAAATAATAGACCAGGAAAATCGGAAACATGAGATGCTGGGACTACCAATGTTGCTTGCGTTTTGAAGTCAATCTATGCTTCTTGGCTTAAGAGGTTTCAATTGAGACTTGAAGTCTTCTCAGGATTTTATGTGTTCATCTTGCAGATGAGTGCGATGAGAGCCGCTGAGGCAGAATCTGTCACCTAGAATTCAAAGGATGTTTTGAGATACTTTAGGATACAGCCAGAGGCTTATCACTGGGACTGAGTCAGCTCAGAGAGAATACATTATTAGGAAAATACAGAATAGAAATATGGTCTCAGAGGTGGAAAGGCCACAGAAGCCCCATCACGCCAATGTCTACCTTGAGAAGTCAGAACTGTAAAGCACAGGCATTGGCCTGGGTGAACTGCAAGTGTGATATTCCAACCCATTTAAGAAGCTAAGTGTACCAGGCCTAATGAAGCTGTTATGGTGCCATTAAAATCAAATTAAGGGAAAAGTATTGCCTCCTACCCTAAGGAATGAATTATACCTTTACTTAGAGACAGGAAATTGTCTCTTCCTTAAGAGTTAATTTATTTGTGCAGGGTCAATATTCTCAATAAAGGATCATTCATCAGGAAGAAAGGACCGGACCTAGAAAGTGGGTTTATCTTAACCATTCTGAAGAGATGAGTAGAATGCTTATCCCTTTAGTGAGATAATGTACCTTTTCTTCCCAGAATTCCTGATCCCTAGATCAGTTCCTAAGAATGTCCATGAGAAAAGAGAAAAAGATTCCTTTTTTTTTTTCTCTTTAGCCTCTCACTTTTGGATGCTGCCTAGAGCCTGGCTGTGCTTGCTCTGGTACCCTGGGCTTGCTTATTGCTTCTCTAAAGCTCCCCTCTCTGCCTTATGGCTGTTAGTCTGTCATGTGGCTGGCTGGCTTCTAAATTCTTAACTCAAATTGCATACCTTTCATTTTCCCTACTTCATCCCCTTTCTCTTTACCTCTTCTAAATGCTGAAGATTATAGCCTGCCTATTTTGGAGTCTTTAAACTCTTGTTAGATTAGGATCAAGTATCTGTTTGGATTCATTCTTGAATTTTTGTTACTAAAACTAAGAATGTCAACAGTACCTGGGGCCTTTATTATCCCAGCAAAAAAGTCACAGGAGTGAGTCAGGATGCAATAGGCTATGAATGCCCTTTTCTATCTCGGTCAGTGTCCAGAAAGCTGAACTTGAACTGAATAAAAATTATTCTCCATCTTTAAAGGTTTGTGTGGTTTCTAAGTTGAGCCTTAACTTGGGGCCTGTTTTCCTGTTCTTTTTTTTTTTTTCCTGCTGTACCATCTTGGAACAGACATGCTTATCCTACATCTGCTTCACCACCACGTTTGGGAAATAGCTTGTTTAAATCTATAGATTCACAGCTGAAGAAAATTTGCCTCAGAGTGAAATGTTATTTGATTCACGTCCATATCTGATTGAAATCTGTTTTTGAATTTGGGGCTCTATAGTTGATGCTGGACTGATTCAAATCTGGAGCTACTGAAAGGGAATGAATATATTTTTGTGCAAGGAAGAAGTGCATGCTGGCAAAAGGAAGCATAGAATACTATGGGGTGAATGTTCTCTCCAAAACTTATGCTGAAATTTAATGCTGTTACACTTGTATTATGAAGAAATGTCTTTAAGCTGAAATTTAATGCTGTTATACTTGTATTATGAAGAAATGTTTTTAAGAGGTGATTAAAGGCAAAACTCTTATGGGTAGGTCAATCATTACCATGAGGAAGGATTAGTGCTGACAAAAGTGTGTTCTCTAATCAGAAAATTACTCTAGCCTTTGTTTTCCATCCTTTTCTTCTCTCTCTCCTCTCTGTTACACCTCCCTCTCCCCTATTCTTTTCCCTTGCTTCTCTCATGTTCATAGGGAGCCCTTTTCTCATCTGATAAGGCGGCAAGGAGCCATTATCATGCATTTTTGTCTTGCCAGCTTTCCCCTATGAACAAATATATTTATTGCTTCCAGTATAAGGTACAACTGAGGAAAGAATATTAGCAGAGGAAGTAATGAGATAAATAGTTAAGGCTATAAGTATTTTCTCAAATGCTCTGTTCATATTGGGTACATTCTTTAAATGTCAAATAGGGAGCAGACATAATTCTTAGTAGTAATTGCTCAGAAATGAACTAAATAGCAAAGATAAGAAATTAAGAGCTGCAGAAACATAAAAGTGAATTATAAATACAAAAAAATGCCATTATTCGAAGCAATTCCATAGAGAAATGTCATCTAATAATCAAGAAAAATAAAGTTAGCATCAAGCAATGCTATAGTAGAACATTTGCTTAAAATATTAGCCACTCTTTCTTTGGCAGATGCTGCTCATTCATTTCCCGGCTGCCAATACCCGAAATAATCACACAGAAACTGTATTATTATAACACTGACTGACTTATTGGCTCACAATTCTTATTGGCTAGCTCTCATATCTTAAATTAACCAATTTCTTTTAATATGTATAATGCCAAGTGGTTATGGCCTGTCAGTAAGGTTCTACCCAGCATCTGTCTGGTAAAGCAACTACATGGTATTCACAGCATACAGAGTGGAATGTCTAAATGAAAAGAAAGATTTAAACTTAGCAAAGCAAGATTACATACAGGTTTACAATGCAAAAGAAACATTAGACTGGCCAAGCATACAAACATTCTACAGACGATCCTTTATTGTATAAGATTGTTTTGGCTATCCTGGGTTTTTTGTTTTTCCATATAAAGTTGATTATTGTCTTCTCCAGATCTGTGAAGAATTTTGATGGGGATTGCATTGAATCTATAGATTGCTTTTGGTAGAATTGCCATTTTTTTACTATGTTGATCCTCCCAATCCAAGAGCAGGGGAGATCCTTCCATTTTCTTGTGGGCGCCTAGGCAGTTTGGATGCTCACCTTACTAGACCTGGATGGAGGTGGGTGGCCCTTGGACTTCCCACAGGGCAGGGAAACTTGATTGCTCTTTGGGCTAACGAGGGAGAGGTATTTGATTGGGGGAGGGGGAGGGAAATGGGAGGCAGTGGCGGGGAAGAGTCAGAAATCTTTAATAAATAAATAAAAATTAAAAAAAAACATTTTACAGAAAATGAAATCCAGATTCCCTCTTCTAAGAGAAAAGATAGAATGGTAAAATGAGCCCAGTGGAGTTACATAGAAATTAGAGATATCAAAACAAATGTGTATTTTTGTTAAACTAGATAGACAGATGAGGAAGTGAATAAGATATCTCTTTTGCATGAGTAAAAATACATGCACGTATTTGTTTGCTTTGAGGTTTTTTTGTTTTCTATCTTTCTACTGAGAGAACATAGAAGTATGATTCCCTAGTAAATGAAAGTCCACTAAATACTTAAACCTTTGTAATTGTATGGTCTGTGTGCATATATGCAAATATATTGCTAATATAAAAGAAACATGGAACCAGTTCAATTTTCTCTGAAGTTTTTATGGTCATCCACATAAACTTTATCTATCTACAATCGACCTAACTACGAGTTGGCCCATTTTATTTCCTGCATCTAATCTTTCTATCCATGTTTATCTAGACATAGATAAGATACCCACACTGTAACTTTCCATACCTTCTATTTCTTATGCTCATGTTGGTAAGATAAATAGTAACTAGAACAAAAAAGAAAATACTCGTTCATGTTGTTCTCATTGCAAGCACAAAAGGGACACTGAATCATGGGCCAGGAAACAAAATGGTTAGGCAAGGAGAAAGGTGTGTCATCCCCCTCAAAAAAAAATATGACTAAATACAAGCTTCCCTTAATTCATGATTAAATGGGTGAATATGAGTACTTTAAACAAGGTATAACCCATCAAAAATTCCCTAAGGTTTGACATATTGAATAAATACCAAAGAAATCACTGTAACCAGATAATAAAGAAGAGAAGATGATGGGGCTGTGATAAAATCTAAGAATCTGGTGGTACATGCCTTTAGTCTCAGCACTTGGCAGGCAGAGGCATGTGGATCACTTTGAGTCTGAGGTTAAGTTTGTAAGAAATTAAGATTCTACATCTGACTTTTATAATTATAGCAAAGACTCAATCAGGAAATAAAATTCACAATTTAGTACACATATATAGAGAAACATATTTATTCCTATCTACCCCAAACTAGAATAACCTTGTTTCACTTGCAGTGATATTTTCCTTTGGGGTATTTAATTTCAAGTTTCAAGTATCAGAGCTGAATAGAGGCATATAAAACACTTTCCAATTTGTTTTATATAGCAATTAATTCCTTACCCTGCCTCCAAACCAAGCCTAGAGCTTTCTTTCTCCATAATTTTTATGTACACAAAATTAATATTTTTTCTGGAAAGTGGGCATACCTACGGAATATAAATATCATCTGGCTTCAGAAAATTCATGCTATTGTCGATGACATAATATAATGATAATGTGTCAAACACTTAATTTAATAGAGAATAAAGATACACTAGTCTTCCAAGAAAACCCTTGATTGTACCTTCCTTCTCAGAACTGCTGGAATGCTCTTTAACCCTGTAATAGAATATTTTTGGTCGTTGCTTCTTTAATAACACCATCATTGTTTGTAGCTCTACAAAATACCTATTAGTTCACAAATGAGTGCTTTCAGTTGGGTTTTTGATACTTTTGCCTTTCTTCTTGAGCTGATGTTAGCAAGGTTAGGCAACATGGTTTTCTGTTTCTTTTCTCTATTATATCATTACTAAATTGACTGTCTCCTGGCTTCAAGAATGGTTTCAGAAATATGACCATAAACAGTGACTTCTCATTACACCTGGAAGCTACAGGAGTTCAGTATTTATAATCGCATTATCTCGGTGGATAGTTGGAGCAGTGTGTATGTGCTCATTATCTCTACTGGGGACTGTAATGATATATATAGTCTCATTTTCTGTGCTGTGGACTTGCAGGATTACATTTAAACTGAGTGTCCTAGGCTTTAAGTAAAATAAGGTGGGTGGGTTTACTGGTTGAAAGTGCACCTAGAATTTTTTCCTCATTAGTGTTTCCATTTTTTACATATATTTAATATTTACTTCTCACATTTCTACGATTACAAAATTCTAGTAATAGTGGGCAAATGAGAAAACAGAATGCATAGAAATACTAAAGAAATTGAAGCTAATGCAAAGCAATCCTTCATTAAATGGGCAA